ATAAAGGGGAAAGTAAATACGTGCTGAAAAATTTCAGCCAAGACAGGACTCGCAGCAATGGTTTCAAGTTGGAAAAATTCAGATTCAGAAAGCATATAGGAAAGCACTGGTTTGGTAATAGAGTTGTGGATGAGTGGAACAAACTCCCGAGTACAGTTATTCAGGCTAAAACGTTGTGTAGTTTTAAAAATAGGTTAGATAAATACATGAGTGGGTGTGGGTGGGTGTGAGTTGGACCTGACTAGCTTGTGCTGCTGGGTCTGGTGCTGTGCTCCATCCTTGAGTGGAGGTGACCAGACTGGGTGGGTCATTGGGCTAATCCGGGGGAAGACATGGACCTGCTCCGCATGGGTCAGTAGGCCTGCTGCAGTGTTCCTTCTTTCTTATGTTCTTATAACCCTCACATAGGAGAGAGGAGCTTATGACGATGTTTCGGTCCCACTTGGACCATTTACAGTCACACTGCATCTTTGAAAATGGCCCAAGTCGGACCGAAACGTTGTCGTAAGCTCCACTCTCTTATGTGCGGGTTATTTGTGTATTATAGTATTATGTGATGTTGTTTATGTGATGAGGTTATGTGAAGGAATTATATGATGTTTATGTGATGAGGTTATGTGAAGGTGTTATGTGATGTTTATGCGATGGTGCTGCTTATGTGATGATATCATCATTGACAGGTATTCACAAAATTAATGATAACAAAGTATCACCGGGCAACAAGAATGGGAGACAGAGATAATAATAAGATATATTTGTTAATACCAGGTGAGAGATGAGAGTTAATTAGGTGAGTGCTTCCCGTGGTAGCCATCCTTCACGATATTACTGACATTCTCTAATTGCTTTCTGATTTATGGCGAGTAAATTGGCTGAGGCGTTTATTATGACGTGTAGGATTAACGTGTGGAGGCGAGGAGATGATGTCGTAATGGAGGAGCTATTGACTCCATTCCTGGAGGGTTCTGGAGAGAGGGAAGGTCGCTTGCTTAATCCCTGGAGGGAGGCAAGGTTGCTGGTTCCATTCCTGGAGGGAGGGAAGGTTGCTGGTTACATCCCTGGAGGGAGGGAAGGTCGCTGGTTCCATCCCTGGGAGGTTCTGGTGAGAGAGAAGGTCGCTGACTGCATCCCTGGATGTTCTGGGGGGAGGAACGGTCGCTGGTTCCATTCCTGGGAGGTTCTGGTGGGGGAAGGGATCGCCGACTTCATCCCTGGGAAGTTATGGTGGGAGGGAAGGTCGCTGATTCCATCCCTGGGAGGTTCTGGAGAGAGGGAAGGCCACCGACTCCCACCGTAGTCATGAAGAATTTGAAGCACAGGCAAAGCAAGCAAGCAAGCAAGTGCAGGTAAGATCCCAATGGGATGAGCGGGGAAGACGGGACAGACGAAGAATAGCGCTGGAGAGGAGTGTTCTTAGTCGTAGAAATAGAGCCAGGGCTTGACCCAGAAGCTAAGGCGATCGTGGGACAGACTTGGAGAAAAAACGGGAAGAGAGCAAGCTGTGTATGGAACTGAACTTCTCCAGGCTGAGGGACCGACAACCCCAAATTCCACGACTCCAAGGGCGATGGACCGACCACACCGTCCCCACACCTCCACTGCTCCCGCCTACCTTCTGTACTGAAGAAGCCCACTGTGTAGGCGAAACGCCCCGGAACAAAGTCGCCCATCTGCCGCCTGTGTCTTACCTACCAGTCTCGTGGTAGGTGAGGTCTTTGAGTCTCGAGAGCTGGAAGTTTCCAGGTCGCAGGAGAGGGCAGCAGACATGTGGGAGGTTATTTTAGTAGTTGAGGAGGCAGGTTTGCAGTGGAGCCATTTGCAAACTTCTTGAAGCTGCTCCTGGAGAGGTGGTATAGCGTTGTCTTGTTGGAAAAAAGTGAAACGAAGAGGCTTGATGAACTCAAGAACTTGCGTGAGTGTGAAGTGAAGAGGTGATTCGCAGGTATACTTGACTGTTCCATCACCGAGGCCTTTGTATAGTTCAGAGCAGGTCATGGTGTCAGCGTTCGAGGGAGAGGTGTAGAAAGTAAGGTTTTCCAAGAGGGTGTGCTGGAGTCGTCGCTATCTGCTTCGTCGGGGATTCGTCAGGAAATTCTTGTTCAATTGTTTCTACAGTGATTGTGTCAAGAGGAGGCTGGGAGTCTAGAGTATTTGCGGTCTGGCTGGTTGTTGGTGGTTGTTGAGAGGTGGCAGTGGTCACTGGGCGTGGTTCAGGAGTGTTTTTTGGGGCAGAGTTAGGATTTGGGCCTGAAGTTGATGTGAAGTTAGCGATGTTTGGGATAATCTTGAGGAAGTCCTGTGATGTTGGCGAGTCAGGAAAGTTGAATGACGGCATGTTGTTAAGACGGAATAGTTCGTTAATTGTAGTGTTGAATGTGCCTGGGTTTGCTGCATTTGCAAGGTGTGCATACATCATGCAGTACAACACCTTAGAGGGAGCAGCGTCAGGGAGTGCAGAAAGGGAATTGCTGGATAGAGATGACTGCTGTGTGGCTTGTAGAATTCTGGTGGTGTCCGACTGGAGTTTTGAAATGGCGGTAATATGTCGGCGATTTGGGACTATTCTTCTTGGTTTCTTCTTTAATTTTTTTTCGACATTACTTCTTTTCGTGTGGGCATTTAGCTGCAAGGGTATGATGAGTACCTTGCAGTTAAGACATGTTGGAGTGGCATTGGTGGTGGTGCAGGCTTTGCAGTTATGACCTTCTTTTCCACAGGTAGAACAGAACTTTTTGTCTTTAATGGGACAGTCCTTTGTTGAATGTTGATAAGAGTAACAGTTCCACAGGGAGAGACATGGGCAAAACGTTCAGGTTCAATGTGGCGTGGATGTATGTGGTAATATGAGATAGCTAGTCCATTAGCGAGTGCTTGGGTAGCCATATCTATGTTTGAAAAGGTGATTTTGATCATAGATGAGGCATTGGGAATTCGTGTGATGGTGTCTACAGAGGCCCAGGTGTTTTGGTCTTCGATAGAGGTCTTCAGTTCATCCGTTGGAATAGATGTGATTATCTTATCCAATTGTTTAACAAAAACTGAACGTTTCGTCAGCAAGGAGGGAGACGGTGATATGTGATGAATGGTTTTGAAAACCGACATGTTGAAGAATTGAGACACTTACGTAATACATGGGAATCTTTATTGAAGAAACGTTTCGCCACACAGTGGCTTCATCAGTCCAATACAAAGTAGAAGTGGGTAAGGAGAGTAGAAGTTTGAGGTAATCAGTCCCTCAACCTGGAATCGATGTGTTCAGTCCATCACTCTTGTAGGAAGTGCAGCATAGGGCCAGAGAGGTGGCTTAAATACTGCGGTGAGATGAGTTGAAGCAGGAGGAGGCGGGATCACAGTGGGACCTGCCACTAGTGTAAGTAGGTCGTCGTCCAAAGGTTGGGCAAGCGTTGAAGTCTTTGTACCAAGATCCCATGATGTTGCAGTGTCTGACAGATGTGATGAATGGTTTTGAAAACCGACAAGTTGGACGACGACCTACTTACACTAGTGGCAGGTCCCACTGTGATCCCGCCTCCTCCTGCTTCAACTCATCTCACCGCAGTATTTAAGCCACCTCTCTGGCCCTATGCTGCACTTCCTACAAGAGTGATGGACTGAACACATCGATTCCAGGTTGAGGGACTGATTACCTCAAACTTCTACTCTCCTTACCCACTTCTACTTTGTATTGGACTGATGAAGCCACTGTGTGGCGAAACGTTTCTTCAGTAAAGATTCCCATGTGTTACATAAGTGTCTCAATTCTTCAGACGGTGATATGATGAATTGTCGGTCCCGTAATGTGTTCATTGCAGTGTCGTCCATAAGTTTAGCTGCTTCATTGTCGTCGGTACAGACGACAATAAAGGAATCCTTGAGTGAGTGGATCGCTGTGAATTTGAGATGTAGGCAGGTCCTCATCGCGGCAGCAAGTAATAGTTTAGTGGAATCATTTATAACACCACTGGCTGGTTTGATTTTAACACGATGTGCGAACATTGTCGAACAGGTAGAGGTTACCCTCCCCAACGGGAATCGTAGGGAGACTGGTTGCACAGGCAGGAAGATTGGCGCTTATATACTGGCTCATCCCTTGGGTATGACCTACTTGCAATGAGGAATCCCGCCTACCAGTGATAATGCCTTCGTCTGCTGCATGCCCCTCACCTGACGCCAGTATATAAGCGCCAATCTTCCTACCTGTGCTTCACATTCTTCAAGACTACGGTGTTCTTCACCAACTCCAAAGCTGAGGGACTGATTACCTTTTATTTTGTATAAAGTTCTACAATCTTCGCATTATGTCCTCGTATTGATAAAGCCACTGGGTGGCGAAACGTCTGCAAATAAAGATCCCCAGAATGTTGCAAATGTGTCTAATTCATTAAATACAAGCATGTGGGGGAAACAGAAAGGCCGCAGCAATGGGTACGAAGGAATAAAAAATTGCCAAGATGCCTCAGGAAAAACTTCGAGAAATATGAGTGTCCCTCATAAACTTAATAGTGAAAAAATAAGAATTAATCAATAAAGAGAACAAGTGATGGAAGACAAACTCCCTTAATGGCTACTTTAATAATAGTAGGAGTGCTAGAGTAAGATAAGACGAGATAAGATTAACTGATATGTGTCAGAAATATGAAAAATATTACAAGATCTGAGACCAAATAAAGATACCCAGGTGTTGTACCTGTGTCTAATTCATTAATAAGAAGTAGTAGCTAGGTGGTAAAGGTTAGCTCACCTGTTACAATAAACGGTAGCTATTAAAGCTAGCTCACCTGTTACAATAAACGGTAGCTATTAAAGGTAGCTCACCTGTTACAATAAACGGTAGCTATTAAAGGTAACTCACCTGTTACAATAAACGGTAGCTATTATAGGTAGCTCACCTGTTACAATAAACGGTAGCTATTAAAGGTAGCTCACCTGTTACAATAAACGGTAGCTATTAAAGCTAGTCCACCCGTTACAATAAACGGTAGTTATTAAAGCTAGCTCACCTGTCACAAGGGCAGAGACGGTAGCTAGGAGCACAGACAGGACCACGGAGGGCCCCGCCCATTCAGCAGCTACCACGCCCACGTA